TGATGGCAGGTGTGATACAGGCTACCCGAGCAATGGGTACCTGTAGAAAACCACAGGAAAAAAAATTAAATCCGAGATGCCTTTATGTCCCCCATCCCACTCTCTGTATCAGAGGGACTTACCAAAGAGCTTTCGGAAACGCGGATACCTGGGCCCCAGACTGCATCTGACAAATCAGAATCTCCACACGTAGGGCCGATAGATCTGTATTTTTAAGGGAGCCTTCCAAACCATTCTACTGAAAAATCAGGCTTAAGGAGCCTTGAAATTCACTCATGTGTGTGCTCGCTCTCGTAGTTTTTAAAAATTGGACAAGACTGTGCACTTGGTTTGAAGCCGGCTGGAGCCGAGCTGCTAAGTCTCCCATCATTCCCTTACAAGCTCTTATTTTCTGAGGCTCCAGCTGTGGTTTCCAATTAGCCCAATCCATGGCTTTTCACCCAGAAGTCCTCTCACAAAATGAATCCACTTACAAATGTCATCATTCTCGCCTTGCTGGGCCACGTTTGATGGATAGAAACCCGTTTGCCATCATTCTCCCTTCCCTCTTGGATGTCAGCTCCCTAACTGAAGGCCACATGTGGCTCTGGTCTCCTGGTCGTCACTCCGAGACCCCGTGGCTCCTGCCTGAGCTCACACTAGCGGACAAGCTCATGAGGGTCTGGACATTTTCTTCCCTGAAATATTAATTTGACATCTAACACTATTTTTCATTTAGTGTTCAGCCAACCATGATGGTGGTTATTTCAGCTCAGAACAGTCTCCGAGGACTCTGGGGTCAAATTACCTTGGCTGTCCGACTGACATTTTAGGAAAATAAAATGACAGGAAAACACTGTAAAAATCCTTTGAAGATGGCTATCTGCAGTTACTGATAAATGAGAGGGAACACGGGGTGTGCCAGGGCCATAAACCAAATAAGTAAACACCAAGTTTGAGGCCAGCCTGGACACCTCAGCAAAAGCTGATCTCAAATACAAAAATAAAATAAAATTTAAAAAGAGCCGGGGATGTAGCTCAGGTTTCAGTAAAAGTCCTGGGTTCAATCCCCAGTACCAAGAAGAAAGAGAAAGAGAAGCAGGGGGAGGGAATGGGGAGGGGGGAGAGGTGTAAGTAGGGGAAGGAGGAGGAGAAGGAAGAGCGAGCCTATCGCCACGGAGGCCGGCCGCTGCCGGGGTCACAGGACGACAAGCCCCTCCTGTCTTTCATCCCCCGGGTTGATACTCCAACTGCCGTATGGAAATGCATCAGTACTGGAAAGCTTTTCCAGCCTTGTGTAGCGGGTGTTTCTCAGGTGCCCCTTGTTGTGACTCTGGGTATCACTGGTAGAGAATAGAACTAGTGAGAGGGGCTATGCCAGGTCACTAAGTGGTCGAGGGACACCAGAGGGGCCGGTCCCACTCACTCGGGTGACGTCTTTCACTGGGGAGTTGTTGCCCAGGACCCAAGCAAACCTGTGCAGGCACAGGAAGCCGTGCCAGGCAGCGGAGGCTGCTGTTCTTTTCATTAGGTCACAAAGCTGCAGTCAAGGGCCTGTGGTGACAGTGAATTTCAGTTCTGCTACCTGGACACTGAAGGAACAGTTTCTTCTTTCTAGTCTTTTTATTATTTATTTATTTACCTATTTATTGGGACAGGGTCTCACCGTGTAGTTGAGACTGACCTGGAACTCACTGTGTAGCCCAGGCTGGTCTCGAACTCACAGGGATCCTCCTGCCTCAGCCTCCTGAGTGCTGGGATTATAGGGGTGCACCACCACGCCCAGCTCTCCTATTCTTTAATAGCGGTAAGAGAGGATGATTTCTGCACAAAGGGTGATTTTAAGCAAAGGATTTAGGTACATATGCAGGCCCCTCTTATTGTAGATAGGTGTCTCTCTAGGCAGAGGCCCTTAGATCTCAGTACATCACTTCAGAACAGACATTGGTTTTAACCCATTCATTCCTTTTATTTTCCATGAAATACCTTTCGTGGATAACATTTTTTTCTCCCTGACAACTTTTCAGACCTTGTTTTCGCTGTATTCCATTTTGAACACAATGTGTGTAAATGTGAATTTATTTCTATAGATCTTCCTTGGATTCATTATGATTCTTGTCTGAGGGTTCATATATTTCCTCCTCTCTGGAAACTTCTTATCAAAACTGTTTGTCCTACAGAGTTTCCTGCAGTCTGGGTTTGGGTGGTTGCCTCCCTGATGGTGTCATTTAGCTTGTTCCTCCGTCCCTTATGGTTCCTATATTTTGGTAGTTAAGTCTAGAGAATTAACCAGACTCAGTTTGATTCTGGGGCCAGTGTATTTTACAGGAGGTACTGTGACCTGCCACCAGGAGGCGCACGATGCCTCTCTTCTTGTGGTACCAGCCACCACTGGTGATGGGTCAGATCTTCCATTTCATTGTGTGAGACAATCTAATCCTCTCCCCCTCTTTTGGGACAGAAAAATCTTCATGATGCGTTTGCTGGGTCAGGGTAAAGGCATGTATTTTTGTTGATGTTGTCAAATTACCCCCTACCACATGGAACTCATACCATGTATGAGAATTGGCTATTAGTGCTCAGAATATATTATCTGATACTGTATTTTTACTTATCTGATGGTTGAAATAGGACATGTTGGGGTGTTTTCAATATGTATGTATCATATTATAACTGAAGTTCTTTTTTCCCCTTCACAGCTGTCTTTCCTGGCCTTCAACTGGCAGTGTGCTTTTAAATCATTAAAGGAGAGAGCACAAGGCCAGGACAAAGTCCACGGGAGCAGGATGACAGCTGAGGTGACTAAGCCCTAACTATTAGGAGCTGAAAGTGGGTCTGCGGTTGCCACGATAACCAAATTTACCCAAGCCCAGTTGGCGCCTGTACTTAGCATTACCTCATGGGTCTCTTTCCTTGCCCTTTAAATGTCATGTTAAATAAGCCAGCATGTTATTGGGAGTTTTGATGCCTGGAAGGTGTCAAAAGGCAGCCTCTGAACTGTTGGGGAAGGGGCTTGGGGGAGGGAGAGGGTAGGAAGACTAAAGGGGGAGTGGCTGTGATCAAAGTATGTTATATGCACACATGAAAATGTCACATGAACCATGCTGTTCTGTGTAATTAATGTGAAATGAATGAATACTTGGTTAAAGCAGGCTTTTCCCCCAGGGTAGAGCGGTTGTCTCCGGCTTCAGTCGCACATGGGGTTGTAGAGAAGCTTGCTCATGGGAAAGAGTGAGCTCTTCCAGCCGCACACAGGGCCTGCAGTGGGCTTAGCTGTCACAAGAAGAGAGCTTTCCCTCCCTCCCTCCCTTTCTTCTTTCTCTGTCTCTCCCTCTCCCTCTCCCTCTCTCTCTCTTTGAACTGGGGATTGAACCTAGGGCCTTTGCACAGAGCTCCATCTCCAGCCCTTTTTAAATTTTTGTATTTTGAGACAAAGTCTCACTAAGTTATATTGGCTGGACCCAAACTTGAAATCCTCCTGCCTCAGCCTCCCAGAGTGCTGGGACTACAGGTGTGTGCACCACCATGCTAAACTAAGAAGTTTCTTTTTAATAACCATCAACGTAAAAGTCCTCTTCTGAATGGCCACAGAATTCTGGAGATGTGTTTTCTAAACTTACCGAGAGGTGGCACCAACAGGTCTATCAGCAAGATCCCAAAAACTGCTAGGAAACCTTTTATGGAAACATGCAGAGTTGGTCCCATGAAGATTTCATTTCTAAATCCAAACTGAAAAATAACCTTGCTAGCATTGATTAAGGGAAGTTGGTGAGTAAAGGTAACACACCATTGCTACCAATTCATATTTATTGAGAACTTTCTATTCACAGGTTACATGAGTTAGGAAGATTTCCTAGTCAGTTAATGGTTCCTAACTGTGTTAGGGTCCCTCACAGTGGGTTTCTCTTGCTTAAGGAGAAAGCTGTGATTAGGATCCAAGTTTTGGTGCATATTGAAAAAGTATAATGGATTATCTTTTTGTTCTAGGTTTTGCTTCCTGTGGTGTGGCCTTTCTGATCAAATTCAGATGCAGATGTTAGCATTCTGTTACTGTAACAAAATACCTGAGACAATCAACTTAACAAAGGAAAGGTTTATTTTGGCTCCCAATTTCAGAGGCTCCAGTCGGTGGTCCTTGGCCTGTTGCTTGGGGCCATGGCAAGGCTGCATATCACGGTGGAGCACCTGGCAGAGGATGCCATCATTGCATGGCAAGAGTAGAAAAGAGAAACAGGAAGGGCTTGAGTCCCAATATTGCCTTCAAGGCAGTGCCCGTGATGGCTAGTGCCTCTCCCATCAGGCTTCATTTCTTTTTTATTTTTTTTCTTTCTGGAGACAGGGTATTACTGTTTCCTAGGCTGGCCCGGAACTCATGATCTTCCTGCCTCAGCTTCCACAGTGGCTGGGACTACAGTTTAGCCTCCACTCCTTAAAGGTCCTTCTGGGAACCAAGCCAGCATCACATGGGCCTTCGGGGGCACTTGTCCAAACTATACCAGAGGTACTTGGCAAGTTCAGATGAGAAGAGATAAGATTAGAGGCCACTTACCTCATACCCAGGGAGAGTCTCCAGCTGCCCTCCATGAACAAGCTTGGTTTTCATCAATGTGACATGTGTTTTTTTGAGACAAGGTCTCACTATGCGGTTCAGGCTGGCCTTGAATTCATGACCTGTAGCTCAAGCTGGCCTCGAACTTGTGATGATCATCTTGCCTCGGCCTCCTGAGTGCTGGGACATCAATAAGACATGGTCCAGAAGTTTTCCTGTGTACTAGAGGCTAATTCACAGACATGCATTTCTTGAAGTCTTAGGCTGGGTCTGTGGCAGCACAGTCAGGCTCTGATAAGGCCTCTTCTCTGGCTTGGCTGCCCTCTTGCTGAATGCCCATGGGGCCTTTCCTAGGTAGGTGAAGTATGGGGAGAGCTCTGGTAGCTCTTCCCCTCCTTATGTGGGCCCTAGTTTGATTAGATGAAGGCTGCTTCCTGGTGGACCCATTTAACTTTAATCTTCCTACAGTCCTGCCTCCTGCACGGCCACATGAGCTGGTGGAGGGGCCAGACACACAGTTCAGTCCACGGCATGGTAGGACCAAGACCCTGGAGGATACGAGCTGCCTGAGTTTGACAGAACTCCTGGTGTTCTGTTCTAAAGCAACATTTATGCCTGAAAATGACTGCCAGAGAAACTTGACATTCTGGGCAGGTAGGATTCTGAAGCTAAGAGCTGGCTTCCATTCTGAGTTCAGGCAGGGTCTTTGTGTGTGTTTCTGGCCAGAGCACAGTGCAGGCTGTGATCACCCTGGGACTTGGGGAGGCCTCGCACCTGCAGGCAACAGGACCAGCAGCAGGAAGGAGAGGGGCTCCCACCCCAGGAGGATCTGGGATTGGCTCCTGGTGTTTTAAAGCTGTGGTTGATTTCCTGCTGCCTTTCCTTTCAGGCTCTGGCTCTCAGGTTGCGCACCAAGAGCACTGTCCTCAGAATGAGGTCGTCTACTAAGGATGGAGTGTGGTGAAAACGCTCTGAACAGGCCAAACAGAGGCTGCACAGCTGGGCCTATGAAAGCAGTGAGTACAACGACAGCCTGGGGAAAATTCAATCTTAGTGGACTCCACTGCACTGTGCGGCTCTGGGGATTGAACCTTGGGCCTTCACACAGAGCTACCTCCCCAACCTTTTTTGCATTTTTTGTTTTGAGACAGAGTCTTGCTGAGTTGCTCAAGTGGGGCTTGAACTTAAGATCCTCCTGCCTCAGCTTCCCACAAGCTATATATGACAAGCATAGGCCACCATCCCTGGCTCATTCTCAGGTTGTTTAGGATTTCCTTTCTCTGGGTCAGTTTTTAGAGTTTTGTTCTGAAGCTTGTCTATTTTGTGTCCTTTCTGGGTTTTATTTTTTTGTTTTGTTTTTTGGTGCTGGGGATCGAACTCGGAGCCTTGTGCTTACAAGGCAGGCAGCAGAACCACTGAGCCAAACCCCCGACCCTTTTCTGGGTTTTATATTTCAGATCCAGTCATGGTTTGTGGCTGAGCTCAAGCTTCTGTAAGTTTTTTATTTTTATTTTTTAAAGAAGAGGATCAGAAGTGACTGCTTCAGAAAGGCACGTGTTGTCATGCACTGCCCTGGATGGGCACAGCCCAGATGCCCAGAGTGCCCAGTCCTGTGGTTTGTTTTTCTTAGCTTCATGAAGTTATGGGCTAGACAATATAGCACAGTTCCTGTCCATTGTAAGTGCTCTAAAGTAACAACTATTACAATCAACCCTTCTTTGACAAATTGTTCCATGTCCTAAGTGCAAGGGTCTAAGGCTCAAATGCCTTCCAGGGCCAGGAAAGTAATTTAAGTATGCAAAGCTATTTGACATGGGACCAGACAATAGGGAACAGAGTGGAGAAAACTATGAGGAAATCGGGGAGTCTGTGCTTTGTTAAAAAGAAAACAACCATGCTTATGTTTCACAATAGAAAGAAGAGAAGGAAAGGAGGGAGGGAGGAGGAAGAAAGCAGACAACGTTGTACACGTTTGCTAGCTGAGCTCATCAGTCTGCAGTCCTTCTGCTGACTTAGAGTGGATTTTTTATTTAAGTAGCTGAGTTTTATGTGGAAAACAATCCCAGATCTTAAGCGCCATGCTTCAAAGTTAGCAACACAGGAAACTTTCTATCGAATTTCTACCCAAAGAGGAGTCAGGTGCCTCTCTCTTCTCCAGTGTCAGGGAAATGGTCGGTAAATTTCCATAATTTATTAACAAGGGCCACAGTGCAACAGCAGCGTTCTCTTCATGTACAGTTTCTTTTTAATAGAGGACTCAATTTTGAGAAGGCAATTTTTCTGGTAATTGAGCAGTGCGAGATTGGTTTTAAAAGCAAGATATGAGTGGCTTTGTTTGGAAGTCGGGGGCCAAGGCTGAAACACTCTGTGGGGCACAGACGGTGTTTATTAACATCTGGAATCTTCAAACACCGATGTGTGTTCTTCAAGGAATCTGTATTCAGGCTCTGCTTATAGAAAGGATGAATCGGGAGAACCCAGTGCAGTATAATTTGGGGTGAGTGAATAAATTTCCCTTTGAAGTCTCCCTCCCTCAGCACCCGAAATGGCTGTAATCCTCAGCCCTCTGCAGTAAGGACATTAGACAGTCTTCCAAATAGATCTTCACGGGTCATCTGGGAGGGGATGGCACACTGGGCCGCTCTCTCCCTGACCCCTTATCTCCAACCAGATTATTGAATTCCCGTCGCCTTGTTGGTGCTCCGAGAAAAGAACAAGGAAGAAATGCGTAGGAGGACACACACACACATGCACGCACGCACGCACGCACGCACACACACACACACACGCACACACACACACACGCACACACACGTTCACACGAAAGCCACACCTTCATTCATCCGCAGGCAGACACCTCCTGAGCTCCTGCTTTGTGAACACACACACACACACGCACACACACACACGCACACACACGTTCACACGAAAGCCACACCTTCATTCATCCGCAGGCAGACACCTCCTGAGCTCCTGCTTTGTGGCCCCAGGGAGGAGATACTGACCCAGAGGGTGGTGGTACCAGGGTGGAGAGCGTGGAAGGTACTGTGACCACGTGCAAAGGGCACCCACTCAGACCAGCAGAGTGGCACAGGCCAGGAGGGGACTTGTAGGATGGCTTCCTGCAAGTGACACGGGCTGAATCCTAAAGAAAACAGCAGAAGCAACAGGAGGAGCGGCTGCTGGCTGCACACCTCGAGGCTCTGTCCTCAGATTTTCCAGCTTTAGGTTTCACTTGATCTTAGCCAAAAGGCCGAGAAGCGATCCAGCTTTAAGTTTCAATCGGTCACTTGGATGGATATACTCAGGGGCCATTTATCACTGGCAGATGGCACAAAGTTCAGAGAGATGGAGATTCCTCTGGACAGTGGCAGAACCTGGGCTCCAAAAGATCCTGGCAGGGCAGAGGAGCAGGCAAAGTGCAGCACAATAAAGTTGACCAAGATAAATGTTTAAAAAACAAACAAGCAGCTAGGCATGGCTATCATCCCAGCATTTGGGAGGCTGAGGCAGGAGGATCACTGTGAGTTTGAGGCCAGCCTGGGCTAAATAGTGAGTTCAAGACCAGACCCTGAATTACATGGCAAGACCCTGTCTCAAAAACAAAACACAGAGGGCCAGGGATGTAGCTCAGTAGTGCTGTGCCTTCTTCCAAACACAAGGTCCTGAGTTTAATCCCTGATACTGGAAAAATAAATAAATAAACCAAAAACAACAACAACAAACCAAGCAAAACAACAAACACCACCAACCTCATAATAAGAGGTGTTTTATTTCAGAAGTAGGAAAACTGTGACTCATGGCCCAGATTCAGCCAGCTGCCTGTGTTTGCAAGTTGAGTCTCATGCTTGGTCTAAAGCAGCCCGCGTCCCACCTCAGTGGGTTGTGTGGTTGCGGGTGACCCTCAAGTAATCACTATCTGCTCAGCCTTCTTTCAGTCCACCCCAAGTTCAAGGTGAGTCCAGATCCAGAGTGTGATACGTGCAGTTCTCCACAGATTCTTTTTTTTTTTTTTTTTTTTGAGACAGGGTCTCACTATGTACTTGAGACTGACCTGACTCACTCTGTAGCCCAGGCTGGTCTCCAACTCACAGCGATCCTCCTGCCTCAGCCTCCCGAGTGCTGGGATTACAGGTGTGCGCCATTGCGCCCGCTCCACAGATTTCTTAAAATCAGTCCTGGACGAACCAGCGAAAGAACAAGGAGCCAACCCGGGACAAGTTGGGTTGGGGGTGGGGTCAGCATCCCGGGTCTTTGTGGGCGGAGCCACCAGAGGCCTGCGCTTGAGGCTGAGCCTCTCCCGAGAGAGGGATTCTGGCCCCTGAGGGGCGGATGAGCAAAGGAGAGGCGCAGGGGGTTCCGGGAACTGTTTGCAGGTCAAGCAAAGGAAATATGGATCATTGGCCTGAAGAAGCATGTGCCCGGGATGCTAGTGACATCAGCCTCAGGCAGCACTGACTGAGTCTGAGCCATGCGTTCCCACCAGCCCTTTAGACCGTGGCCTTAGGACTCCCGCTTGGCGCAGGAAGAATGGGGGGCATAGATGGAAGTTCAGGGGTCCAAGATCACACAACCAGCAAGTGGAGAAGCCGAAGCTCAGCCCATGCAGCCCGTCCCTAGGGCCCGTGTGTTTCCTTTGTGTACCGTTGGTGTAAAGTGACGCGATTCCCGAGTTGGCCCTGATGGCGACAGACAGAGCAGCTGTCAGAGGAAGCGGGGTAGCAGATCCCGGCCCAAGGCGAAGAAGACCTTCCAAACATCCAGGGACAGAGCAGAGCTCGGTGGGAGGAAACCTTGTCATGGAGGCCGGGTCAGCCGGCCAGGGTTCGCGAGAGGCTTCCAGACTGGGTCAGAGCGGTCGGCCCGCAGGTCTCCTTGTCGCCTTGGCCCACTGTGGCTCGAGACTCGGGGTCTCTTCGAGGACGGCGGACAGGTGGGCAAGGGCCAGCAGCAGCACAAGACCTGCGAGGGACGAAAGGAGGGAAGCCTTTTTCTGAGTCCTTTGCACGTTTAAATCATTCCATCTTCAGAGCAGCTATGGATACCGTGAATGTCATTTTACTGATGCAAAAACTGAGAGGCCTGCAGTTGCTACATATTTTATCCAGAGTCTCAGAACTAGTATTAGAGGCAGGATTTGGATCTCAGTAGGCTAATTCTAGAGCCTGCAGTCCTAGCCGCCACTGTATGAAACGCTCTTATGTAGAGAGGATGTGTAATTGAAAACAAGACAAACAACAACAACAAAAAACCCCTCTGTTTTCCCCTGCCCTCACGTCAAGATTTTTGACACCTCCTCTTCACTTTATTACTAGAAGCTGATAGTAGCAGTTGTCAAAATAATGGGCTCATTTTATCAGACAAAGGTTTACAGCACCCGATTCTCCGGCTTCAGAAACAGGTTCCCGGGTAGGGGGTTCCCAGACGCTCCGTAGATTCCTGAACTCATCAAGCTGTTAGGGCTTTGTTCAGTCTCCGAAGTCCCAGGCGAAGACGTAAACAGTAATGTCCTAGTCCCAACAGTATGTCTGGTTCCGATGGGAGCATTACTTCTGCTGAGAACCACAGTTCCTGCACTTTTCACAGAGGTAGAGCTGAGCTCGGTATCAAGGATTTCTGCACGATAATTTCCATGATGGTAAGAGGGAATTCGGTAACCATAAGAACTGTACTTGGCATCCAGGAGATGCTTAAAAGTACACAGTTGCCTAAAACTGTAATCAATTGGGATGTATTGACCTTGGGGGAAGAGGGGTGTCAATGTAATTTATTTTCTTTATGGTATTTTGGAGGTTCTTTTATCATTTTTTCCCCCAGTGCTTGGGATTTTTTGTTGTTGTTTTGTTTTTCCAGGGATTGAACTCGGGTCCTCGCGCTTGTGAGGCAGGAGGCTTGGGGTTCTGACAGTAAGTTGTGACTCCTGTTTGACCGCCGCCACGCTGAGGTTTGTGCCTCCAGTTGCTACACAAATAAAACTCATCTCTTCTCGGCGCATTGTAGTCCAAGGTGGAAAAAAAAATTCGTAAGAAAAACTGTGGGTGGCCGGGGATTTAGCTCAGCGGTTCGGTGGCCTGCCTTGCAAGCGCAAGGACCCGAATTCCATCCCTGGTACCAAAAACAAAACAAAACAAAACAACAAAAAAAACCCTGTGGTGTTGCTTAGCCAGGGACTGTATTCCGCAGCCTCCTTTTTGGTCAGATCTGCTTTTCTCCATACGGAAGCCCAATGAGGACGCTGGGCAGGGGTTGCTTGTGGTCAGTTCCGTCTATAGATGAAGACACAGGCTTTGGAAGGGACATTTGAGGGAGGGCCCTGGGGCTTGGGGTAAGGACTGTTTACTAGTTGGAAGGGAAGCTTCAAATAATGGAACAATTGTGCAGCTGCGCTTGTTTATACCACCTGATCTCCCAACGCCATCCAATACCACGTACCAGGCTTATCTTTTTCCCACAGTGGAAATATTACTGCTTCTTTTCTCCTACATACATAGGATTGCTGTAAAAATTATGATAAAATAAAGTGAACCGGGAAGATGGCAGCTGCAGCAGTTTCTAAAAGGTCTCTACATTCCCCAAATCAAAACAGACAGCAACTAGATGGCTAAGGCAAAAGTCCACAAGTGCACGAAGAGTGGATGACAGAAGATCCCCGTAGGCTCCCGAATCCATGAAGACCCACACTGTGCCAGGACCCGTGCAGGAGAGGCAGAGGGAGGTGAGGCTTCCGATGAGTCCGGTGAGAGAAGGGTCCCAGCAGTCCACGGGCATTCACCGGCCGGCCGGAGAGCGCAGGTGGGATCGCAAGAGGCCTTCGAGCTCCAGGAGCAGGCAGTGAGTGGAAAGAATTTGTGGGAAGAAAAGTGAAGAGAGGGCCGGGTGTGGTGGTGCACACCTGCAACCCCAGCACTCAGGAGTCTGAGGCCAGCAGGAGTTCAAGGCCAGTTTGGACTACAGAACAGGACCCCGCCTCAACAACAACAACAAACAAACAAAAAAACAAAAGAAGCTGGACTACTTTATCTCCTATAAACTTTTAAAACTGAGCAGCCAGAAGTCGCCTTGGGATAGTGTTCTGTTTTGAAGAGTAATAGTGAAAACGAGCAGGAGAGAAGGGAAAAGCCCATTATAAGTGGTGGGAGGAAAGGAGGCCAGGAAATGTCAGGAAGCCGCCAGGTTGTTTAAATTCTTCTGACCAACATCATAAACAGGAGCTCCGTGAAGTTAGTAAAGCTACTATAGGCCATGGTTTTTTTTTTCCCCTTCAAACTTCAGGAAAAATACATTTTATGTAAAAATAAGCAATAAAGGTCAAATTGTGTAGTTCAAATCCTACACAAGATTATTTTAAGGAGAAAAATGTGCAGAACAGATAGCATGTGTTCAGACAGTGAAGTCACCCCAGAGGTCCCTGTGGAACACTCAGAATCATAACCTTGTGTTTAAAAACCCGTTAAAAGAGACAGAATGACAGAAGATGTGAAGGAACAGCTCCAATCAAATTAGCAAAAGAGGTTTACATGAGCGGCTAGAATTCGGGAAAGCATTAACAATAAAAGAAATAAAGACGGATCTTCATAAATGAAGACTACACATGCAATAGAGAAGACATTAAAAAGCAGAACATTGCAAGATTTTTCTAAAGATTTTTCTTACTTTTCTAAAGTAAGAAAATTTTCAAAAATGTCAAGAGAAACTGACAAATACTGAAGAAAGCCAAATGACATCCAACATTCTGGCTCAAGGACCTCTCTGCAGGGAAAAACGAAAGGGAACAGAGCACATGCAATTCAAGACAATTTTCCTGAAATTAAAAAAAAAATTGAAACTACACATGAAAAGAACATACTATGCATTTGAGAAAATGTCAGCAGAACTACCAATACTTAGGCGATTCCAGTGAAACTTCTGTGCTTTAAAGAGAAAGAAAAAAATTATTTTTACTCATCTAAGCAAAAACAGCAGAGGGAAATTAAATTATTTTGCTGTCAGAATTTCAAAAGCCGTGATGTACCACGGAAGCAAACAGAATGGCACATTTAAGATACTCGAGAAAGGAAAGGGTGAGCTACGGATTTTATATCCAGTAAAAGTGACATTCAAGTATTTATTTTTTGTGTTTTACTTGACAACTCTTATCAATAGACAAACTCACCAGTATGTAAGAACTCAGGGAACAGTATGCCTGTAAACCTTCCCAGAATATTCCACTGGAGAAGAAGCTTCAGACAAGAGGTAGTGAGAACTAAAAATGCATGTGTTTCTAAATTAAAACTATAGGAAGCCAAGTGTGGCAGCAGAAACCTATAATCCCAGCACGGGGAAGGCTGAGGCAGGAGGATCGCAGGAAGTCCAAGGCCGGAATGTGCAACACAGTGAGTTTTAGGCCAGCCTGCACTCAGAGTAAAACCCAGTCTCAAAAACAACATCAAACAAAAAAAGACTAATTTGGGTGTTGAAATGAAGGGTGTGTCATAGGCATTGGTTGTATAATCAAGTAATATAGAGTATAGCTAGTAAAAATAAAGGTACAAAGTAGAAAAAGTACAAAAGTCTTAAATGTTCTCAAAGATAACTTTTAGCGGCATTAGTATTAGTACTGCTATTCTGGGACAGTTGCAAGATAAAGTAAAATTCACACTGTTCTTGAGAATCAAGACTTCTATTGGAAAAAAGAAGATATGGCTATGATTCAGAAGGGGTTAAATAAAAACATATGACTTGGAATCAGAGCTGTATACCATACAAGACTGTACCTATGTGTATATACATGTGTGCAGATGTGTTTCCTCTATACAGACAGGAGGTTATAGACTACACACTCTGGGCTACATAGTGAGTTCCAGGTCAGACTCAACTACATAGTGAGACCCTGTCTCAAAAAACCAAAAACCAAACCAAAACAAAACAAAAGAAGTGCCTAGAGTATTTTGTTACACCCCACAGCAAGGAAAGTATCGAACATGTGTAGGGGCATAGGAAAAGGACACCTCAGAAGTCAAACTGAAGAGGTTCTCCAGCCAAACCAGGATGATTTGAGGTTTCAGAAAGGTAATCATTGTGAATGATTGAAATCTATTGAAAATACTTGTCCATTAATTCAAACACATATTTGAAAAATAATTGTTCATTTTCAGAGGATGATGCAAAATAGAATCAATCCTTTTTTTCCCCTTGCCTTTTATGTACAGACGGTGAGGCCAATTAACCAACGGGGAGGAAATCTCTATTTTGCAATCCTCAGAAAGTCATTGACTTGAAGCCTCAGTCGTCACCAGCTGCTAACATCACCAAAACAGAGACAAGTGGACGTGACACGGCTCTTGATCAAAGACGCCGCCATCTGTGGGCTTTCCGAGGATGAACCCAAGTGCGCTCAAACTTTTGGGTCCGGCTGCATGTGCAGAAAACAGAGGACGGACAGACACACTGGTGGGCACCGTACATATGCAGGCAACAAAACCCAGATGTAGGAACCTGGATGGGACCAATCCCCGAGTTCTTCAGCAGGCACAGGAAGAGGAAGCAGGAGATTGCAAAAGACTTACCATACCAAGTCATTTTCTAGTGGATAAGACATCTAGGAACACATTCCTGAGTGATTAACTTCACTGAAAGAAACGTAGGGCAGTTAGCACCACACACGTCAGGCTGGTGTTCACTTGTGTGAGGAGGAAAGGGACGGAACACCCCGGGGATTTCTCGGTTATCCAGCAAAATTATTCTTTCTGACTTTGGTGTTGCCAGGGTGGTCTCCTGAGTGACTCAGCAAAACACACATCTGGGTTTTGTGTCGGGTTGCGTGTTTTATTTTGAAACAAAAACATTTAAAATGGTTTTGAGAAATTATAAGTCTTTTGCTTAATTCTGTAACCCAGCTTCAGAGATAAATACTGTTAGCGTCTTGGTGTTTGTCCTTCCAGACCTTTTCTCTTATTCCCAGTGCTGGGGATCAAACTCAAGACCTTCTGCTTGCCAGGCAGGAGCAGTGCCGCTGAGCTCCATCCCTGGCCCTCCAGACTTTTTAATGCACTTAGATTTTACCTGAGACTATACTCCAGGTACAATTCTGAAAGCAACCTTTTCTCTCAACAACACATCACAGACACCATATTTAATCATACAGAGCCTCGATGTTCATTTAGGAGAAAAAAAGTATTTACTTTTTAAATTTTGAAATAAAATACCTGCTCCTCATCAAAATTCAAGTGATACAGAAAAGTGCAAGGAATAAAAGAAATTCCTTACAATCTCACCACGCAGAAATAACATAATTCAAGAATTCTCCCTATTTATGTCAAGATAGAAGATGGGGGGGATTTTATGACTGCCAAGATTATTTTAATCAAACTATAGAATTTAGGTTTACTTTTACAGGAGAAAAAAAACTATAAGTAAACAAGGTAACTTTTTATTTTGTAGTATAGGTGACGGTAACATCAACACATTCTTTAATTCCTTAAGAAAAATGTTAGGACACTGTTAAGAGGCTGCAGTAGCTTTTTTGTTTGTTTCTGTGGTACTAGGTACTGCATCCAAGGTTTTCACACTGAGCTATATATCCCCAGCCCTTTTTTATTTTTCATTCTGAGACAGTCACTATGTTACCCAGACTGGTGGTGAACTGCTGGCTAAGTGACCCTCTTGCCCCCACCTCCTGAGAGGCAGGGACTATTCCTGTGGGCTGTTACAGCCTTGGAATGCTTCTTTCCACCTGCGCTTTGGTTGCCAGGATCTCAGCTGGCTCCCTGCAGCGTAAGCTGAGGCAATCAGCACTCACGCCCACCCCCTCCTGCCTCGGGATTCAAAGCGTCTTTCTACTGTTTTCACCTGTCAGGACTTGTAACATTTCTGTTTTTTTCCACCACTAGAGCTCCACCAGTTGTTTGGTCTTAGTTTGGTGTTTATTAGCTGATTTCTAAATGCTAACGGCCTGGTCTCCAGCCTGTGGCACTGTTGGGATGTGGTGGAACCTTAGGAGGTATGCATAGAAAGACGTTGAGGGTGTGCCCTTGACCAGATGCTGCGGTCCTGGCCCCTTGCTCTCTCTGCTTCTTGGTCACCTTGAGATGAATAGAGCTCTGCCACCATGCACTGTGCCACAATGTACTCTGCCATCACAAGCCCCAAGCAATGGGGCCCTAGGACCATGGACTTGAACCTCCGAAACCGTGAGCCAGAACAAATCTCTCCAGGCTGTAAGTTGAAATGTTAGGAATAATGATCAGGTATTTTGTCACAGCAATGGAAAGCTGACTAATATATTTCCCTTACGAATATTCCTCCCCGCTCCAGCTTGCTTCAGATTGGCTGCATTTTTTTTTTTCAGGACTCCCTATATTCTTTCATGCCTGAGAACACCTTCCTGTAGCAAGTTGTTAAACTCTTAGGTTACACTTTTGCTCTCTCCAACCTCTGTGAATATTGTCTAATTTTGTCTTCTGGCACTGAAGTTGTTTGAACATCTTTGGATCCTGCTCGATTCCGCCCCACCTATCCAACCCCACAGGATTCTCTTCTGCCCATATTGTTAAAGCATTATTTTCTAGAAAATTTTTAATCAGGCAAAGCCTTGCTGTTTATTTAAAGTTTTTTTTTCCCCTGGCAAACAGCAAAAATTTTTCTCTGAGCCTTCAGTTCTTCCTTCATTTTCGGAAAGTGTATTATGTGTCTGAATGCCTATTTTATTCTATTTATTCTCTACACAAATTAGCAACACCAATTATCTTTATGTTTGATTATCTCCCAGTGCTCTTATTATATTCTTATTATCTTCTCCCTAAGTGCTTTCTGCCCTCTTTGTTTTCCCTTTGCATTTGCCATAATTATCTCAAGCCTTTTATCCTTGCCATTAATTCAATTTTCAGTCGTCTTTCCTGTTATCCGGTTTTTACAATTTGCCTATTAGATCTATAATGGTGTTGCTTCAGTTTTTGACTCATTTCCTTAGCTCTCAAATGTCATTTTTCTCCGCCTCAGTCATGTATCTCGTTTCTGACTGCAGCACGTCTACATGGTCGCCGTGAAGTTTCTTCTCATCACATCCTTACTTCTCAGGGGCAGCTCCAGCCAGAGTTTGTGTGACTGCCTTATGGGGCGGGTGAAGTTTCTCTGATTCCCTCCAATGTCATTTAGCGTGGGCTTAGTGTCCTTTACCTGAGCTACACTTTTTGTTCATGGCATTAGTTCTTAGGAAAAGGAGAAGCCACAAGTATATTTTACTCTGCTACCCATATGCCCTGAAATCTTAGGAAGAGTTTTCAAAAATGCAAATTTTATCCTACCTCATCTTGCTTAAAATCCTTCAGGGTTTTTAAGTGTTTGTTTTTTTTTTTTTTTTGGTACTGGGGATTGAACTCGGGTCCTCGTGCTTGCAAGGTAGGTGGTGGAACCACTGAGCTACATCCCCAGCTCCTTCAGGTTTTTTAAAATATAGTTTTTAGAGGAAATGTCTAAGCGCCTTGCCTTGCATCCCAGCTCCCTCTCTGCTTGGCCCAACTGCCTCCCCCTTAGGCCTCCCTTCACTCTTGGCCACACCCGCTGCACCTCAGGAGACCACTGAGCCCAGCCTGGCCCTCAGAGCCCTCCACAGCCCAGGGCTTCCAGCAGCTTGTGGCCGTCTGGATTGTAGTTAAATTCCTTTTATCTTTTATTACCAGTGCTAAGGCTCAAGCCCCGGGCTTCATGTATGCTAGGCAAGTGTTCTACCACTGTCTCCCCAGTCCTTTTCCCCATTCATATTTTAAAACTCAGGGCCAGGGTTCTCCTCTGTGGGGAGCTTTCTCTTCCTGACTGCCCTTTGCCATGAGTATGCCTCATTTGTGCTTTTTCTGTCAGAACCTTTCTAATGTTTAACCGTAACTGGCATTGTGGGAACTTTATATGTCTTTTTCCTTATGAGAATTTAATAGACCAATGCATGTAAAGTTTTCCTTGAGCATATGCTCAATAAATGTTACTTATTATTTATTAAAATGTGCCACAATGACAACAATAATGGCCTCACACACCCCAGAGCCCCAACTTGGCAACCAGCAGCTGTCCGTGGTTCTAAAACAGTGCTTTCCTTGGGCCAGGGATTTTGCTCAGTGGTTCTGCTGCCTGCCTCGCAATTGCTAGGTCCCGAGTTCGATTCCCGGTACCAAAACAGAAAACAAACCAGTGCTTCCCACCACAGGACAATGCTCCCACGTTTCTTCCGGCGTTTAGCCCCAGGCAGGGTGAATCCTTGATTACATCTTCTCAGCTGCGGCAGTGCAGGTAGAAACTGTTTCTCACTTCCCATTTCCACAGCCCCATCCTCGGCCTGGCCTTGGTCACCCCAGGGGCTCCATTTCGTGTGACTTTGGACGGCCTCCTGACTGTGTCCCTACCCTGGACCATGGTATTGTCCTCCAGACTCTCTTCATGTCGTCGTGTCCCTGCTCACCGACTCCGGGAGAATTTCACAAGAGTGGAACAACTCAAATGGCGGCACGAGGGGATGGGTATTTGATACATATCAAAGAGATGTGCATATTTGGCAGTTGGTAAAGGCAGTTATTAAGGCTGTGTAAAAATGTAGAAAATCTTTTACTGCAGGGAAGTTGCAGATCACAGCATATTAGTTTGAACACTCTCTTTCCTTCTTTCCTTTTTTTAATTTTTTTTTGGTACCAGGGATCGAATTTGGGACCTTGTGCTTGTGACAGCTAAATCCCCAGCTGAACACTTTCCCCCTTTCATTCCTTCATTATATATGTGTTCCTATTTTGTGATCCCTGAAGATATAGAAAAACACATTATTAAGACAGCTCCTTCTTTAAAAGAGCTCAGAGTCGAGTAGGATAGATAGCCATGTTTAAAAATTGCAAAAAGGACATGCATTTAGGCAAAGACTAAAGTGGAGTATGGAAATAAGTTGTAAGTAGTATTGGGGGTGTAGGTGAATTTTTGTCTTTTTAAATATCCGTTAATGGGCAAACTCTGGCACTGTACCTCCAGGAGAGAGCAGAGTCATCTTTCTCTGACAAAGATGACACGAGCCCCAGGTAAGCCCTTTTCTATTTTTGGCCCCAAAGCTCTCCAACACCCCCTGTCCCCAAAGGATCAATGGAATGGCCAGGCCTAGGATGTGGTTCCGAGAAGTCCCACAGCCCCCCTGACAGGGACAGGAGGAAAAGAAGCAGCACAGCAGCCATGCAGATCTTCAGCTGCGGAACCACTGCCCCGAGCTGAGC